AAAGAAAGAAAGAAAGAAAGAAAGAAAGAAAGAAAGAAAGAAAGAAAGAAAGAAAGAAAGAAAGAAAGAAAGAAAGAAAGAAAGAAAACCGAGGAAATCCTAGAACACGCGTGTGTCCACTCCTGGCGGAAACTGGGCCGATGCAAAGGCAGTCGGAGAAGGGAAAGCTTGGTGCGAGGCTTGTCTTCCTGAAAGGCCCTGGCAGCCATAGTGTTGGTAGCTTCCCGGTCTGGGACACGATTTCAAAGAAAAAGTGGTAGAGCTCCAAACCTCTGCCCTTTGACGAGGAGGAAGGGCATCAAAGCATAGCCATTGGGCAACACACCACCTCAACAACCGCCCAGACCAAGGCCAAATACGAATTAGGAGAACCCGAACAACCGCAAAGCCCGCCTCCAAAGGCTCTACCAATCATACCCTCCCAGCCTCTTGATTGACGGGATCGCGCAGACGCTCTGGATCAAACGTTTAGTGTAAACTTGATTGACTCGAAAAAGAATACTTCTGTGGCCGGTGATTGGCTGGGACGTGTGGGCTCTGGCCAATCCCGGAAGGGGCGGGCTGGTTGAGCGTCCCGTGTTCAGCCGCTGTTTCTAGGTCTGAGTCCGCTGGTGGCTGGCTAGCTCTTCGCTTCTCGTGGGTCTTGGCTCAGTGTCTAATGGAGCTCTCTTACCAGACTCTGAAACTCACGCACCAGGCGCGGGAGGCGGTAAGGACAGTTATCCCAAACAAGCAAAGCCCAGGATTGTACCAGGAACTCGTGTTGCAACAGGCTGAGTCGCGAGTCTCAGTTGCTATGGCAACAGAGGCGGCCGCCCAAGTGGTTCAGGCGCCAGGCCCTCCCTTCGTAGAAGAGGCTGCCTTTGAAGTGGTAATCCCTTGGGGGCCAATCGTGGAGGGGTTGAGGATGACATTGGAGTTTTCCAAACAGACCTGCAGGTCGATTTATGACTTAAGGAAATTGGATTTTAAGGGTCAGATTAGGCTGCTTCTTGATGTGAGTTTGAAGTGTGCAAAATGAAATTGTTGATCTGGGCATTAAAGCCAGCACCTGGGGGTGCAGAAAAAGGCTGGTCTCTATGAGTTCGAAACCAGCCTGGTCTACATAGCAAGTGCCAGGCTAGCCAGGGAGGATACATGTGAAATCCTGTCTCAAAACAAAGAAAAATAGAAAAACAAAAACTAAAAAGAAACAAAAAAGAAAGGAAGGAAAGAATAAAAGGAAGGAGGAAGGAAGGAAAGAGAAGGAAGGAAGGGAGGGAGAGAGGAAGGAAGGAAGGAAAAGAAAGAAAAGCTCTGACTTGAAGGTAGAATTCTAGATTTGGGTCCTCAGCTGTCATTACTAAGGCTAGAGTTCATAGGGATTAGATGAGCCCTCCCCCTGCAGGATCCCCATTTGAAATAAGAGAACTGATTGTGACCCTTTCACTCGAGAGTTCCGTGAATTTACAATACGCCCCGCGGAACCCTGCGGTCTGGGTTGTCAGCTACTGCCAGCAGTATTTCCACTGCAGTGAACATGAATTGACAGCTTACCGTATTGCAGGCACCCGGCATGAAAACAATACTGCGGGTACTCGGGGGTGCCGGGTGCCGGGAAAGATGAATGAAATGAAAGCTAAAGACGGACATCTGGCATCTACTCAGGGATTCCGGATGGGATCTTTTTATTGATAATTTACTTTAAAGCTCCACAGGTGATGACTACATGGTATAGCGAAGATTATGAATCACTGGCCCTGGTGTCTTTTACCTTTTGAAGAACGTGTTTTGTGTATATGAGTGCCTTATCTGTATGTATGCCTGTGCCCATGAGGCCAGAAGAAGGCATTGGAGCCCCAGGGTCTGAAATTACTGACAGTTGTGAGCTGATGTGTGGGTGCTGGAAATTGAACTCTGATCCTGCGGAAGAGCAGCCAGTGTTTTTAACCAGGAGCCATCGCTCTGTAAGTTCTGGAAAGAGCTGGCTACCCTTGCTATTGCTACTTCCTCACGCAGGCCTTGGTTTAGGCCCACTCCACTCGGAGCCAGAGCTACCTGCACCAGAGTCAGAAGTGCTGCTGAAAGGGTTAGACTAACTTTGTAACCTGTATGTCTGCTAAAGCCTATAGTTTTGAGCTTTAGGTTCAGGTTAAGCTAAAGCCTCTTAGTACCCTTCCAGAGAATGAAAAAATGTGACCCTATCTGTGAGGACAGATATATATATAAAAAAAAAAAAAAAAAAAAAAGGCAAGCAAGCAATGACCTTCACTCAGCAAAAAGAAGGACCAGACCCTTGTCTTTGAGATAGTGTTTCTTAGCAACGAACCCAGACTTCTTCTGAGTAGCTTTTGACCTCCAGCCAAGAGCCCGCAGCCCTAAGCTTCAAGGATGAGCTAACCACCCCCACCTTAAATTGCAGCTGCATCCACACTTGGCAGGACTGGCCAAGCTTGAGCACCTAAGACTAACTATCTTACTTTATAATTTCCTCATCCAATCCTAAATTGCCAAAACTGCAACTTCAAATTTCCTGCAATTTTTCTTTTAAAAACCTAAAGGCTTTTGTCTCCCGGTGCCACTCTTTGCTGACCAGCAGGGGTGACCCCATTGCACAATGGTTAATAAACCTATTGCTTTTGCAACGAGTCTTGGTTTGGGGGAGTTTCTGGGAAGGGCGTGATCTTGAACTCCTGAACTGTGAGACCCCCAGGTCTTACATTTTTGGTGCATTTGGCTGGGACCTTGTGGTAGAACAGATTCTCGGGCTCCAGCAGGACCTGCTGAAACAAAGTGGGCCGGGCTTGTGAAACGGGCATTGCAAATACACGCTAGGGATTTAAAGCCCGGTCCTAAATGGTCTCACACCTGCATGATTTCTATTGTATCGACATGTGGGAAAGCTCCAAACTGCTTCTAACTCACCCTGCTCAGCTGTATGGAGAAGACAATGGTTGCTGGTTACTTGCCACAGCCTGTGGGACAACTTCAGTATCTTTGTCTTAACGTTGAGTACCTAACTTTCAACCTTCCTGTCAACACCTATACCTTTTTCACCTTCCTGACTCTGAGACCATGTATCAGTATACACCCATTTATTCAAATCAGAATTCCCACTCACCCACGGTTCCTTACAGAAGAAAAGCATCAACACACATTCATCGCTTTACTTCTGTGACTTATCTTTGGTAGAGTTACTGTCCCATCCTAATGCCCAGCGAGCCCTCACCTGCCCTATCCAGTAGCCCTTTAGCTACTCTCTGTTGCGTTTGCCTGTCTCCAGTCCTCATTGAATGTTACTCTTTTTGGCCGGGATCCTTTTAATAGCTTTCCATTATACTTGGAAAAAGAAACCCAAACTTTGACAGGATCTATGAAACACTACGATGAGACAGAAAACCGCCTTCGCCAGGGCTCTTCCTCACCACTCTGCATTGTCTCCCTCAGCCACAGATACATTCTTTCTGGTCAAAAATATCTCCAAGCTCTGTAGAGTCTGTACATTAAAATCCACTATCCAACTGTAATTTATTATTTGTTGTCTGTATGTAGCATATTCGCAAAAACGAATTCTCTGAAGCTTAAAGACCAAGATCTAAGTCTTTTTTTGTTTGTTTGCTCTGTTTTAGGCCCTAGATGGCGCTAAAGCAATGTTTAGCTGTGCTGATTAGAGGTTCTGAGGAGGGACAGGTGAATTTGTTATAAAGAGAACTAGCTATCCACAGGAATTGTGATCACCTAATTCGTATACTGTGTTAGGACTTCCAAAATGTTTCCAAGTGTCTCCTGTGGCCCAGTGTGGTCTCAGATTTGTCAGAGGATATTTAGATCAAGGGAATTCACGCTCTCAGTTCTGAAAAAAAAAAAAAAAGTAACATATTTCAAGATAATTTTCTCTTTTCTCCTCCTTCTCTTCACTCCTTTCTCTCCCCTCCTTTAGGAGGGATTTATAATGGATAAAGTAGTCTAGAGATGACTTTAGGTATAGGTTATGTACAAATAGTTATATTTACACAAGCTATTCGAGCTTCTGCCATCTGACACCCATGCACCCCAGGACACCTAAGGATGCCTCATTCTGCAGTGCGTGTGTCTGTGTGTGCATACATACTTGCACATATATAGTGTCTCTTACAGGTTTTGTCTCTCTGGAAGAACCCTGATAAATACAGATTTGTATCAAGAGTTTATGAACTACTGATGCTATTGGTGACTTTGGGTGGCAGATTTTCTCTTCCAGTATTTTAAATTTAGTGTTTAATTACAAGCAGACTATGTCCACGGGCTGGGAATGTAGCTCACCTGGTAGAGGGTCTTCATAGCGTGCAGGAAACCCTGAGTTCCATCCCCAGCACAGCATAACTGGGCATGACGGTCAGTGTTTGTAATCTTAGGAGGCAGGTGTCAGAGGATAGGGTTTCATTCAGGGTCATCTTTAGCTGCCTGGTGAGTTTGCCAGCCTGAGATACCTGAACGGGACCTTGTCTCAAAAAAGCAAAAGAAAAGATTGTACCCAATGTGTATACTGCTACCATTTTTTTCAACTTGAATAGAAGAACTTCTAAAATGCTTGGAGACCAGGCAGGTTGTAAAGAGCAATGGCTTTTGTGTTTTAAATGTGTACACACAATCAGAAACTAATGATGACTGGATTAATGTCCAGGAATGTTTTTTTTGGAAAGCCTGATCCACACACTCACAGATACACTGAAGATAACTGGGACACAGCCAGTCTTCCTTTCTTTCAACCAGTCTCAGCTGGTTGGAGAGGATCTTTTCCACTAGTAAGAACTATATACTTTTTTCTCATGTGCTTTTAAAAGAGGTTTCAGCTTTGCCTAGGGTGAGCTTTTTGTATTAAAAAATTATTTAGTATATGTTTACCTAATTGATGAAGCAGTTGACTAACTTTTAAAATGAGTGTTAAATGCCTTAGCTTTTATTAATTGTCTGGATCCCTACAAAAAACCCAAGTAATTGAAAATTTAATTACCTCAGTGTTTTCTTTCAAACAACTGAGGCTTATTAAACTTCAAATCTTCAAAACATTTAAACATCTATTGAAATACCAATAGCTATAAACAATGTTCAGTTCTAAATACTAATTAAACAAGTTCTAAATCACCAGAAGCTAGGCTGAATTTTAAGTAACTCATGTCTTACGCTCTGCTTTCTTCTTATACATGGAAGATTAACTGCTTCTCCACTGACCACTGCTTCAGCCTGTGGGCAACGTTCAAATTGCTGTGGCTTTAAAAGCTGCACATTGTTGCAGTCCCAGCACAATGGATGCAGAGGCAGGAGGCTGAGAGTTCAAGGGTAGCTTGGGCTATATAAAAAGTTCTCGGCTAGCTTGGGCTAAATAGCTAGGCTGTGTCTGAAAACAAAACAAAAACCCAGAACATAAAATGAAATGGTGTTGCTGAACCGTATTCTTGGGCTTCAGCTTTTACCGAGACAGGGAGACTTCTCAGACAAGCTGGAACACTTTGCCAACATCCTGCCCTAACCATGGAGACATATTACCACCACCGGGAATGTCCAGGTTTTGAATTAAAACATCCTTACTGGTTTTCATTTGCACAAATACTTATTTCGGGGGAGGGTTGATATAGGGTTTTTACACCAAACTCACTGTGTAGACTATATTCTCTAACTTGCTATGATCCTCCTGCCTCTGCCTCCCACATACTGGAATTACTGCCAGAACTACCATGCCTGGTTAAGTTT